GCAACCCCAGATTACACCCACCAGGGCGGGAGGCCAGAGCCGAGAAGAGAAGGTAGGCAGGGGTGGATGCCGGGTTCAGGGGCGGGGGGGAGTGGGGGTGTGGGGAGGAGAGAGGCCCCCCACTCAGAGCCTCTGCCGGGTCAGGTCCTCGAGCTGGCTGCAGATGTGAAACAGAAAATCCCTGAAATGATCGACTATGAGGGGACCCGGAAACTGCTGGCCATGGACCCCTCCCCCCTCAACGTGGTCCTTCTGCAGGAAATCCAGAGATACAACAAGCTTATGGAGACCATCCTGTAAGATGGAGAGGGGCTCGGTGGGGAGGGGGTGGGAGGAAAGGCGCCCCCCAGCCCCCCACCTGAGATGGCTCTGCCAGGCCCTTCTCTAAGCTCCCACCTCACCCTGCCCAGGTTTTCCCTGACAGATCTAGAAAAAGGCATCCAGGGCCTCATCGTCATGTCTACAAGCCTGGAAGAGATTTTCAACTGCATCTTCGACGCCCATGTCCCGCCACTCTGGGGGAAGGCAAGATGACCCGGCTGTCGATCCTCCTGCAACAATGAGCTGACCTCTGGCCCCGGTGCCCCCAGCCTCCCGGTTGTAGGAGCAAAACCAGGGAGCCTGGGTTTTGGAGCCAGACAGATTCAAATCTGAAAGCTGGCTCTGCCGTTCACAGACTGGCTTTGCGGTTATTAACTCAGGGACTTAGGGCGAGTCACTAACCTCTCTGAAGACGCGTCAGGGATTCCTAGTGCTGTGTGCAACTCTCAGTAGGTGCTTCGTTAACGGTAACTGGACAGCACTGTTGCTGGCGTGGTTAACTAGTGCTCGCTTTATGCTTCTTTCCCGGGAGGGGGCTTTCGGAGACAGCTTTGCCAGCCTTAACGGGGGACCCGGCCGACACATCTCCTCCTATCTGCCCCGAGCGCACCAAGTAAAGATTTGCACGCGTGAACGAATGAACGCGTACACACGCACCGCCTCCCCCTCCCCCAGGCGTATCCCTCACAAAAGCCACTGGCCTCGTGGACGCGGGACTTGGCCACACGCGTGGAGCAGTTTGAGCTGTGGGCCAGCCGGGCCCGGCCCCCCGTGATCTTCTGGCTTTCCGGCTTCACCTTCCCCACCGGCTTCCTCACCGCCGTGCTGCAGGCCTCAGCTCGCCAAAATAACGTGAGCCACATGCTAAGTGTGACCGGGGCGGGGGGGGGGG